CCACATGGAGGGAAGGGGGAAGAGGAGAAGGGGAAAGCAAGGATGGGACTTTCCTTAGGAACTACAACTGCCTTGACTTGCAGGAGCCACTCCACTCCCCAGATATGAATCTGAAGTTGGTTCCAGGTTCCCAGTTCCTTACTCCCAGTTCCCAGTTCCTTTTTTCAAAGTTTCTCTTTCCACAATTATAAATGTGTTAGCAATCAATGAGACATGGTAAAGAGTTCCATTTTTCATCAAATATATGTATTTTCTAATAAAAATATTATATTATATCACATATCAAGAACACTGCACTGAATAAGGAGCTGAGGTGTACGGGATGATGGAACAAAATCCATCTAGGATCATATCTTTACCACTGGGGGATGTAGCAGGGCACTGGGATGGGCCTGCTCCTTTAAGAGAGCAAGCAGCCTGAGAGGCTGCTTGCAGGTGGCAGAGGGGAGCTAATGAGGGACTCACCTAACTGGAAGAGAGGCTGGAGCCCTTCACTGGTCAGTTAGGTCCAGCGCCTGCATTGGTCAGTTAGTCTCTCCCTGTCAACCATGAAGTGAGCAGCTCCTGGCTGCAGGGCTCCTGCAGGGACCTGGATTTCGTTGAACATCACTGGAGCCCTACAATTTGCCCTTAAGGCTACAAGTGTCCTACAGGGCCATAGTCAGCTGAGAGGGACCCATCAGGCCTGAGGGCTGGATTGAGGCTAGTGGAGGCTCAGGAGAGACTCAGTGGGAAATTATTAGGATTAAGGCTCACTCTAAGACCTGTGGGCAGCCTCTCTTAATCAACCTTTAATATTAAGAATAAGGTGTGGTAGGTGAGCAATCTCGGCAGTGACATTAGAGTCTGAGCCAGGCAGGAGCTGCAAGGCCACCAGGGGGAGTCATGGCTACTCCTGTGGTCATTAGCCTGTCATAGGGGACACTGCTGAAGAAGTGTGGGCAGGGCACTGCCCAACCTGAAGCTCAGTTATCAGTTGACATGATTCCAACTGACAGCTCCCCCGGCCTGTCTGCTATGTACATTGTGCTGAATAAGAAGCTGATCTGGGTTGGGATTTGGGGCAAAATCTGCCTTGAGTCATCTCAAACAACACATCTCTGTGATCAGGGGACTTTCCTAGAGAAACTTGGGTAGGATGCTGCCTAGCTCAAAGCTTGGTTTAGAAAGGCTCCTTATCCAATGCAATATACATAGCACACAGGTCTGGAGAGCTGTCAGTTGGTATCATGTCACTCAAACCAAGCTTCAGGTCGGATAGCATTCAGTCTCATTCATTGCTAACAAATTTGTAATTGTGGAAAGAGAAGTTTTGAAAAAGGAACAGGGAACTGTTCAGAGCAGCCAGCACAAGGGTTGCCAGAAGGTGAAAGGGGGCAGCCCTGGGTGCCCAGGGAAGAGCGAGCAGTACCCTTACCTGGAATAGGGAATGTGTAACATGGTCCCATCCTGGGGATGCCCCCCTGAAGCTCCCCTCAGCCTTTGTCACTTTTGCCCGAAGGAAGTTATTTCCCCTTCAGCTTCCTGCCATGCCTTGATTTAATTGCATTTCTAGAAAAAGGGAGGCTGCTCTAGGTCCCCACAAGCCAGATTTCATACTCCTGAACACAGGGGTCATGCTCATCACCTTAAGAGCTAATTATGTTGCCTCATCTCCCGTTTCAGCCATATACAAGCCTTGCAGATGTTACAAATCCCTCACTTGGCATTAAGCCCCATTGTCCGATCCAGTGAATCCCTCCTCCATGGGCCTTCAGTCCCAGCGTCCACTAAAGTCATTGTGGGTTCCTAAACCTGGAACAGTCTCTGCCACTGTTGGGGCCTTCAGCCCCAGTGCCTTCAGTCATCTCACCCCTTGGGGCTCTGTACTTTAAACAATCTCCACCCCTCTAGGGCTTAGGCCTGCATTCTCTGCCCCTCCAGGGCTCAGTCCTCTGTCTCTATCTGCTTCCGGAAGACTCCACCTCTCCCTGGCTATGGGCCCCTGGCCCTACTTATTCTTGCCTCTCATGGGCTGCAGGTCCCTGACCCTGGTTCTCACCCCTTATGAGCTATAGGTCCCTTATCCTTGTGGGCTATGGGTCTCTTACCCCGCCTGCAGTCATCATTCTACAACTATGACCCTACTCCTCAGCCTTGGCCCCCATCACTTGAGCCCTGGCCCTACTTCCAGGCCAGTTGAGACCTCCATCACCCCTACAGTCTCAATCCCTAAACCACCAGTCTTGTCTATCTCAGCTCAGGTTTTAGTCAGGAGCCCTGGGACAGCCCTTCTGCTCAGGAGCTTACCTCACTATGACTTCCAGGTCAGACTGCCTGAAGCACTCAGCTCAGGCCTTGAACTTATATCTTAAAATCCCAGCCCCTTTTGAGTCACCTTGATTGGCCTCTGCCTCACCTGCAGCCTGCCTTCCATTAAAGTAACAAGAGCACCAAGCCGACAGCTACAAATGCTTGAAAGTTCATTAGGCCAGACCCAGTAAATAGAATGATTACATCCTGCTGATTAAGTTACTCACCCAGTTGTTTTAACTTTCTCTATTTGTCCCAAATTATATTTAAGTATTCCATACAAACAGGAATAGTATTGACTGGATAGGCTAAGAGTGTCCCATTTCAGCATATTATAATAGGGTTACCATACGCCTGACTTTTCTTGGACATGTCCTCTTTTTGAGCCCTCTGATCCCCACCCGGGAGCGTTTTTTAAATCTGACCAGATGTCCAAGATTTCGTTTTGCTCTGCTGGTAGGAGCAGTGGGAGGGCAATTAGAGGCAGCAGAGAGCACATATGTACCTGCCTGCAGCTGCAGAGGCACGCACAGACCCATGTGGTGCTCCCTGCTGCCTCCAATTGGCCCTCCTCCCCTACTCCCACTGGTGAAGCAAAGTGAAATCCCGGACATTTGGTCAGGGTGGGGGCTGGGGCTGGGGCTGTGACAAGGCAGGTGGGGGCGGGGGGATTGCCTGCCCCTCCAGCAGGGAAAAGGGGACCCTCCGAGGGCAGCAGGAAACTCTGTGCCCGGGCTGCTGCCTGTGCTCACAGGAGCAGGGTGGCCAGGAGACACTTGGGGGGAGGTGGAAGGGGGCCGTGGCCCACGCAGCAGCCCCAACCCAGGGCAAGGGGTCCCATAAGCCTCCCCCTCCTCTTCCTTCCAGCCCACGCCGGGGCTAGACACACTCCGCCACCACCTGCATAAATCAGAGCCACCACACTCTGGCCAGGTCAGGACAGGGAGAGCTGGGATCCCTCTGGCAGGGCAGGGTGGGGAGAAGGAAAGGTGCCAGTGGGTCAGAAGTGAGGGGCACCGGCAGGGCTAGGGGGGCAGGGGCTGCAGATCAGGAGTGAGGGGCATGGGTGGGGGGGACTATGGGTTGGGCATTCAGGGCACTGGCAGCACCAGGGGGTGCGGGGCACCAGCACGGAAAGGCGGGGGGACGGGACACAGGTACTGTGGTTTGGGAGTGAGGGACACTGGCAGGACTGGGGTCAGTGGCTTGGAAGTGAGGAACAGCAGCATGGCTGGTGGGGATGTGGCTTGGCAGTGAGGGGCACACAGAATGGTCAGAGGCAGGGCACCAATATGTTACTGCCCGCCACCATTATATGCCCCCTGCCTTCCCCTTCTTCCCCACAACTGAATGACAGGTGTCCTCTATTTTGGACCTAGAAATATGGTAAACCTAACATATATGATAGCCTGGGGGTTAGGCATTCTCCTCAGGGGTCAGAGATTATGATTAAGATTCCTGCCCTGAATCAGGCAGACAGGGGATTAAAATCCAGTTTTCCCATATACCAGATGAGTACTCAAAATACTAAGCTAGTGGATAAATGAAGAGCTGTTTCTTTTCTGCAGTTGTGTGCATCTAACCTTCATTCTTTTCTAGACAAAACTTTAATGCTGTTGCTGCTGCTACTGTTATGAAGACCCAAGAATATGATGGAAGCAGGATTTGTAAGGTAATATAATGCTTTTTTTTTGGACCAACTTTTATAACCGGAAGAAACAGGAGTTAGCTCTTGGACTTCAAGTGCCCTTCATCAGCTTTGCAAAATACGCAATCGTAGTCCAAAAGCATGTCTTCTTTAAATCAGTGGCTCTCAATCTTTTTAGATTCAAGTCACCCCTCATGGGACTCAAAGCACCCCTCGTAAAATATCAGCTCTTAGTTTTCACTTATTTTTTGACTACAGAAATATGAGTCATTCTGTTGCAAAGAAATCAGAAAGATTACAGCAGATCAGAATGTTTTTAATACTACAGATTCCTATTTGAAATCCCTGGGTTCATCTTGCAAATCATGTTTGCACACCTTAAACCTTGCACACATTGCATGGCACCCCGCATCACCCTTGAACAGATCTCCAGGCACTGCATTCTCTCCTTGCTGAGAATCACTGCTTTAACTATTGTAGTTGGTACAATTAAAAAATATTATTTCACCCTATAAATTTAGCTAGTTTTCTAACAGCAATTTGTTAAGGTATATAGGAAGTGGTACTGTGAAATATGCTCTTGAAAGTGGCTGATTCCCCAAGTACTATGGCACAGTAATCTTTGGAAGTTCCAATGGAAGACTTTCAATCCATTCCAATAAGAAAGGGACACTGTTACTGAGACCACCTGAATTCTCTACCACACACACTGCATTGTGTATCAGTCAAATTTTCATCTTCTCCACCTGGCAAAGGTAGAGGAAATGATATTGCTTGCAATAATTAAACACAAACCTTATGAAACTCAGTTTAAGAATCAGAACTCTTTTAGCATATTAAATATCTAAGCTAGAGAACTTTGATATTTATATAAAAAAAAGCAAAGGGAAACAAGATGAAAGTAAACTGCATACACTATCTTCATATATGCATTTTATCATTTTGCTTCTGTATGCAGGCTCTGAGTCAGGAATAATGACTGACAGGCTAGTTTTGCCAAGAACTACCTACTTCACTCTGCTTTGCTCTGCAACTTGTGTGATGCAAGAACTCCCACCCATTTCTGAGAAAACTGAAAGCAGTCTGATAAGTCACAGTCTCTAGCTGGCTTTATAAAAGTTGTTCCAGCTTTGCATACTTCCTCATACAGCTAGATTCTCTGCGAAGATGAAGCAGTTCATTTACTTAGTCTCATTTGGGACAGCGCTGTTTGTTTTTACAGATGTTGCTGCAACTGCTGATAATAGTAGTGTGGATAAAAAGGAAGGAAAAGTTACTGAGGCTTGTCCCATAAAGCTTAAAACCAGTGGGGAATGTGACGGAGAAGACTGTCCGTATCAGATAAACCTGCCTCCAATGACAATCCAGTTACCTAAGCAGTTTAGACTGCTGGAGAAGACTCTCAAAGAAGTACAAAACCTTAAAGAAATAGTAAACAAGTTGAAGAAATCTTGTCAAGATTGCAAGCTGCAGGCAGATGACAACCAAGAAAGAGACCCTAGAGATGATATCCTGGAACCTGGTACAGAAGTTCAAAGAGACAATGGTAATAAACAAGATAACAGGGTAAATGAATTGCAAAGCAAAGTTAATAAACTATCAACAAGTCTGAAGAATGCAAAGAATCAGATCCAACTGCTGCAAGGTCGCCTGGAAAAGATAAGTCTCATAAACATGAACAATGTGGAAAATTATGTTGATGGCAAAGTAGCAAATCTCACTTATGTTGTGAACACTTTGGATAACAAATGTTCTTCTAAATGTCCGGCCACAGAAGCAAGCGCAGGTATGTGAGCAATTCTTTCTTACCATTTTTATAAACTTTCTGTATAGTGTAGAACCAGTTAATAGATCAGTTTTAACATACTTTAAAGCAAATTATTTACGATCATCTTAAAAAAAGAAAAAAAGTCAAGATTGTTTGCTCTTTAAAATCAGGAAGTGCATGCTGTGTAAGACGGTGAGCATCTTCAACTTCCACTGAAATTATTGGGAGCTCCCAGTACTCAGGACCTCCCAGAAGTGGGCTGTAACATGTTACTTACCATGTAATCCTGTGAAGGACACATTTATTTGGCATGTAATTATTAAATACGTAAAGTGTATGACTTCATTCACATATTGCTGGCCAACTCTAAACATTAAACATTTTGATGATTTTTGTCTTTATAAATTTTAATTTTCTAGTCTATTTAAAGGGTAAATGTCCCCATTAGGTGTGCATTGGACTGAGATATGTACAGTTAGTTTTAACTAATAAATCTTTTAAAACCTTTTGAGGGATGAGAGGAAATTGTGTCAGGCATTCCTCTCTAAATGATTCCAATAGATTTTTTGTCTGAGTTTGGTAATAAAAGGGTCAGAAGAAAACTCACAAAATATCACTGAATAATTTTTAAATGGGTTTGAAACTATTAGCTAGCAACAGTGGAATCTACTGAAAGATGTAGATTTTAAAGATGGATAATAAAATAATTATCTACTATGGCTGAATGTGTATATATAAGGCTTGGCTGAAAAATTAATTAGCATTCATGTTTCCGAAATGGGTGGCTTATGCCGCAGTATATTAATAATTTCTTGGTCAGAATGTAATAAGTGATCATTTAAAAATAAATAAATAAACATGAGAGCTTAGGGTTTTAGTTCTGTGAAGGGCTTTTTAAAATTCTGTCATCCTAATTGAAAAAAGAGGGACAACTGGTAATCTTGTATAAATTTCTAGTCAGTTCAGGTAAACTAGTATGATCGACATTTAGTTTTCTATAATGGCTGCATAAAGTCAAAAGCAAGAAGCATTCTCAAGAATTTGTCATTGTATTTCACTATGTCAGCACCATACGTTTGAATATAAGGCTTCTCTAGTGATTAGGATACGAAATGTTTTGAGCCACCACACTGTTGATCCTCCAAGCTAAAAAAAAACGAGAGAGAGATAAAACAAGCCTTTTGTCTATGAGAAGTGGAACATGCTGCCCTTCCCACTCCCATCAACAACACTAATCTATTTAAAGAGTAAGAGAGAACCCTGCAGACAGCATAAGTGCAGAACTCCTGAACTTAAAACTATGAACAGGACAAACTAATAACTATATTATAGCAATGTATTTGTTAAATGCTAATAATCAGATGTTTCAGATATATAGATGTCAGGAAGAAAGTTTTCTGATCCTTCACATACAGCACTGCACAATTAACAAGGTTCATAATAGATTTTCCCTAAGGTATCAGGTGATGTTGGATGCACAGGTAAAGTTGATCTTGATAGATCTTTGCCCTTGCACCTTTTCTCCAAGATTTCTAATTGCTGCTGCTCAGTCATGTTTAAACAAGGTCATGTTTAAGTCATGTTTAAACAAGGTCTAAACTCAGGGAATTTAGCCATAAAGTAAAATGAATATAAATACATAGCATTCATAAGCACTAAGCAATCCAACAGTTGGGCAGGGGGGCAGGTGAGGGGGCTGGTGTATGTGTGTAGGCGTGTATATTGGTAATACATTACAATATACAATACAATAATACACATACAATATTGTGAAACTAGCAAGGATGACAGAGAAGAATTTCCTTACAGAGAGCCCTTTTCTGACTTCAGTGAGGTCAGTGACAAAACTATTATTTTCTTAAATGCTAGAGAAGGTTTTTAGCTGAGGTAGACATTCCTTTTTATATTCTCTAACTTAGACTACCTAGACTCTCATCAAAGCCCACTAAAATAAATGGGAGTTGTTCCTTTGACTTGAATAGATTTGGAATAGGTCTCTAATTACAGGTCTAAACATGGATTTATAGATCTCACTTTAGATTTCCAAGTTTGAAAATGTTACACACTGGTGCATAGTTTCTACCAGTCTTCTACCAGTCCAATCAACATATAAATGGAATTAAAACAAAGAAAGTCATTATTAACTCTTTTATTGTGTGAGATAAGGTTAATCACAACTCAGAACTGGAGAACAAGTCATAAATATTGTTGAACTACTTGCCCCTGAATCCCCATTTCAAATTACTGCTTCTCAGAATATGTTTTCTCTCTCTCTCTCTCTCTCTCTCTCACAATATTACGAGCATCTGTAGCAAGTCCAAAGTTAAGCTATATTGACATGTTTAAGTAAAAGAGGAATTAAATTGCCCGTTTATGCTTTAATCACTGAATTTAGACTCCCAGATTGTCAAAATAACTTAATAGGGATACATACATAAATATATATATATATATA